AGTATAACAATGTCTAAGAAATTAGATAAGATAAAGCTAAACAAGCACTAGTACAAAAGAGGTATTCTACGTCAGTTATTTTGAGTTTTTTACGTTGGAAAAGTTACTGACGTTAAAGCGGGAGACATAAATCTACGTCGGCATTGTAAAACTGACGTAAATTTACGTCAGACATTACCAAGGTCCGACGTAAAAAAGTAGTAAAATTTTTTTTAAAAAAATAACGAGTGCAAGAAAAACGGCCCGTTCTGCTCCAAGCAGGACGGCCCGTTCCAGATGCAGAAGAAACGAGAGGGTGCAGAGCCAGCTCCACGCCAACATGCTACTGACGTTTAGGTAACGCGGGTATGAGTTAGTCATCTGAGCAACTAACCTGGTAGGTTGGTTCTCTCCGTCTATGAAATCGCATTTGATTCACCACCAGCAAGATTTAAAATACATAAAAAAGGGAACTTGCAATTAAGTGTACATGGGAAAAGGAAACGTACCGTTCTCACAAACGTAAGCCTGAATGACAGGCTTGCCGTCGTCGTGGAAGCCAAAGTCACGCCGCAAGCAAAAGGCGGAGTGGAGCTCCGAAAGGCGCAGATTTGCAATGTTGGTGTGTATGAAGAAAAAGCATCAAGATTTTTTGAAGGCTTCAAGCCCTGTTTCAGCGGAGAGAACCAACCTACCAGCTTAGCACGTTTAAAGAAGGTGCCTACACTTTAATATAGAAACCTTTTTTACGTCGGATATAATAAAGTCTGACGTAAAATGTAAAATTTACGTCGGACATGAGATACTTGCGACATAGATTTTACATTTTATGTCGGACCTTATTAAGTCCGACGTAAAAAAGTTCACAAAAATTACAAAAATGTCACCGCATCTTTTCTACGTCATTTTTTGTTTTGACCGACGAGAAAATAGTGACGTAAAAGACTATTTTTCTACTAGTGAAGGGAAGAGTATATTGCCTAATGAAATGGGTATTGTCGATAATATTGATAGTAACAGTAAGAAACAAAAGAGAAAATTAAATAACAAAAAAAGATTCTCATACATGAATTATAATACCTGGATATGAGTGGGTAAGGGGTGATGAAACTAGTTTGGAGATGATAGTTGATTCTCTTTAACTAGTTTCAATGTGCTTCCAATCTTTTTTCATGGATTTGAAAGCTTCAAAGAAAATCAACAAGAGTGAAGGAGGAAGGATAAGGTGTGTACCACTTCAAGTGAAGGTAAGTAAGAATGTGAAAAAGTTGTGATTAATTTTGCTTTACTATCCGTACATTTTATTTTTATTTTTTTAACCATGTTATTAGTAAGGAATATTCACCATCGGAAGCAGTGACTAATCTCTGCTGAAGACTATGAGCGCACACAATGTGAATATTCTTTTCTCAATATAATTTATTACATACCTAAAGTCAAGATTCGAACTCTGGACATCTTGGTTAAGAGATACAACTCACTATCATTTGTGTTGATCAATGTTGGTCTTTACTATCCATATATATATATATGATATATATTGATTACCGACAAGTGTATTTGAAATATATATATATATATATATATATATATATATTAACAATCTAATTATTAAGTTAGACTTTTTATTTTATTGATCAAATTTACAATTTCTTGTAAAATTAAAAAATAGCTTGATATTTTATTACATAAATTTAAATTAACGTATAACATGTTATTAATGAATATATGTTAATTTAAATTCATGTAATGAAATATTGAATGATTTTTAAGTTTTTACAAAAAATTATCAAAAACAACATGCAACCACAAACCAAGTAAACCACCCAATTTTCACCTTCATGAATCTAACTCACCCAAATTTATTTTCAACCAAAAATCATGAAATCCATCAACATATTCAAACTCATTCTTTGTTCGATTCTTTCATAACTCACACATTACAAACAAAACAGTCATAACTTCCTTTACCTCAACTTTGAGCCAACTAAAATTAAAGAAGAGGATAAGGAAGAACTTTGAGCTTCCTCAAGCTCAGCAACCACCCAACCTCAAATTCCCAACCTTTGATACCTAAATCACTATGCCGATGATCAAAAGAATCTCTCATGCCTCCAAGAAATCTAGAAAAAAGAAGAAAAATTTTCAAAATTCCAGAGTTTCTCATTCTACTCTCTCTTTCTAAGGTCTTTAAAAAATTGAGTTTATGAGACTTAATTCTCAGAAGAAAAAAATAAGCCTTATCCTCTCTTTAGGGTCAATTAAACCTCAAGTCAAAGACCGTCTCAGACTCATCCAACATACTACACTAAGCCATAATAGTGTTACAAGTGTAATTATGTGTGTATATATTTTACAAATTAGTTTTTTTTTTGCTAAATTTTTGTTTATTTATTTATGGTTAAAATACCTTTTTAGTCTATATAATTTCACATTTTTTACCTTTGAGTTCCTGTAGTTTAAAATATACTTTTTTAATTCATATATTTATCTTTTTTAAAAATGTTTTTTAGGCCTAATAATTTAAGCTAGATCTTTTTGATCCTTATACTTACAATTTTTTTAAATGTTTTAGTCACATTAATTTTGTTAATAGTTTTCATGTTAATTTTTTAATTATTTTACTAGTTTAATTTTGTGTATTTGATATCAAATTTATTTTGATAGAGTTATTTTAAATTAGTTATCTTTACACTCCGGAACATTTTTGTATCTTTACTTGCGACACTTATTATTGAGACACATTTTTTTAATCTTCCCAAAATCAAAGACCTCTGTGCATGAAGAAAAAATAGACAACATTAAAAAAAATATTTAACAATATGGATTAAAAAACTATAATTATAAAATTTTAAAGAATCTATCTTAAATTATAAAGACTAAAAATATTTATTTTAAACTATAAAAAACTAAACAATAAAGACTAAAAAAAAAATTTAACCTATATTTTTAATTTATCCAATATCTATCAATTTAACGAATATCATGTCATAAATACATGCGACGACTTTTAAACCCTAAATCTTAAATTTTAAATCCTAAATCCTAAATCTTAAACTCTTAAATAACTTCTTCACATGGTCGGAAATGTAACTAAATTTATAGCAAATCTTTCATCATGGTCAAAATAACTTATTTTAATAAATAATTTTTTTAAAAAAATATTTGATTAAATAATATTTTTTTAATTTATTATGACCAAAAAATTATACTAATATTAATTAGCACAAATTTTAATGATTTATATTTTTTAATTAAATTGTTCATAATTAAAATTATAATTATAAATAAAAAATTATATCAGAAGAAAAATATTCATTTCTTATACCTTCATAATTTCTTGTAGAGATTATTCATCGGTTTCGATGATACATTTCTTCTAGGTTAAATACATATTTTGGTCCCTTACAATCTTTTTTTATTTCAATGTAGTCTCCTTTTTATTTTTTGTCTCAATTTGGTCCCAAACTAATTAATTGGTTTCAATTTAGTTCCAAATTAATTAATTGGTTTCAATGTGGGACTTCCGTCCAAATTATTTAAACGGAGTTAACTTTTGGGCACGTGGATGCCACGTGGATGACAATTTTTTGAAAACACCTGGACCTAGAACGGCCCGTTCTGAAACCGGAACGGGCCGTTCTGGTTGCACTTTTGGTGTGTTAATTTTGCATCC